CAACCTGTTGTGTGGTTTAAAAATAGAAGCAAAAAGCCCAGATTCAGCTGACACTAGATTTTAGCCACCTTGGCAGGGAACAGAAAAGGAAAGGCTGTGACCCAAGGGCTGGAGCCAACAGTTTATTAACTTAGGTTTCTGCTAACTCAGGGAAGGTATGTACATAGTTATATTACAATATTGACTTTAACTTAACCGTCTATATTTAATAGGAGTTTCACCTTGCTAATGATCAGTTATTCAGCTGGCTGGCAGTTAGTTTCACTCACAAAGCTTTGGTGCCAAGAAGAAAGTACAAAGTCCTAGAGCCACAAAAGGTGAGAGTTGAAGCAAACCTTAGAGGTCACTGGTCTAATCCTCTCCATCTACAGAGGAGGAAATGAAAGACCCGCAGTCTAGCAACTGGCCCAACACTGAGCAGCTAGTGAGTCTCAGAGGGAACGAGAAACCCATCTGCTCTCTGCCTTCCATGAAACTCTGCCCTGCCCCTTTGCTCTTTTTGTGTCAACACCAGAGAGGACTGTCGCCTTTTCAGCGAGCAACAGAGGCCCATTCTGAAACTCTAACCGCAGGACTCAACATACTCAAAAACCTTTATGAGCTATTTGGTCAGTCATGTAAATATTTAGTAACCGGCTCTGAGTATATAGCAAGACTTGTCTACTTTATTTGTACTCATCCAGGTAACACACTGTCCAGAGCACGTAATTGCTGCAATGCAAACTGTGGTGACTCCATTTCAAACAGTTTAGGAAATTTTCCTATCTTTGATTTTTTTTTTTTTATTGGTACCGGGGATCGAACTCGGGTCCTTGCGCTTGTGCAGCAGGCGGTGAAACCACTGAGCTAAATCCCTGGCCCTCTATCTTTGATTTTTACAAACAATCTCTTTTTTCAGCACTAGGAATTGAACCCACAGGCGCTCTACCAATATATCACAACCCCCTTTTATTTTTTACTTTGTGACAGGATCTCACTGTGTTGCCCAGGCAGGACTCAAACTCGAGATCCTTCCAGAGTAGCTGGGATTGCAGGAATGTGCCACCATGCCCGGCAGGAACACACACACACACACACACACTGTTTAAAATAATCTCTAATATGCTAATTGCAATTGTTGTCTGCTTATTTCACTAGCCCACACACTGCGCTTTCCCCAGAATTACTCTTGCACACGGGGAAACAGCTCCAAGAGGCAATGAACTGGAAACCTGAAGACTAGTGAATTCTCATCAGAAATCCCACAGAGGTGGAAAGATGGGACTCGATGGCATCAATGTCCTTTCTACCCCTGAGATTGGATGAGAAATTTGCATTTATAATTTGTGTGATTCCCCTACTGAAGAAGCTTGTTTAGAGTAAAGAGAAGCAACCAACCCTTACTCAAAGAAACACAACCTGCACTTCTCCAAGCCCAAGTTCAGCCTGTTGAAAAGACTCAACAGGAGAGCAAAGAAGCCAGTGTGAGCCATCAGGGAAGGTGTCCATGTCAGGGAAGTCTTCTCTGGGGGACCCTCTTCCCAGTGCAGAGACAGGCTCTGTGGGAATCACAGCTTCATGTTGGCTGTGTCCTGAGCCGCCATGATCTCTTCCTCCTTCTCTCTCCAGCTGTCTGACTCTTACACTTATCTCCTCTACTGATCAACCAGGGCCACTCAGAGGTCAGCTAGCAGTTCAGGCCTAGACCCAGGGTGAAGGGACGCGAGATCACATCTGGGCCTTGGAAAGTTATTTGCCTCACTTCCATGGGGTGGTTCCTCCAGCCCCCAACAAATCCTTGAGTCCTGACTGAGGGCTAGGCCCTGAGGTAGGGACACAGGACACCATTCCTTGCCTTTCTAGGCCACAGGGGAAAGGAGGTGAGAAAGGGCAGTTACAGGAAAGATCAGGCTTAGGGTGGGGATGGGAAAGGGTAAAGACCTCACCTCAGTGAGGAAGGGGAGTCTACAGGCAACAGGGCAAAGTGACCCGACAGGAGGACCTGAAGGATGACTAAGGGTTAGTCAAGAAAAGAGGAGAGGGAGGTTTACAGGCCAGGAAAGAAGGTCCAAAGGTCCAAACCAAAAGGGTTTGGTGAGTTCAGGAACTGAAAGAGATTAAGCCTTGTGGAAGGGCCAGGGATGTAGCTCAGTGGCGCCATGGCTGCCTCGCAAGCACAAGGTCCTGAGTTCAATCGCTGGTACTGAAGAAAAACAAAAACAAAAGACTTGTGGAAGCAGAGGTGGGAGAGAAAGAGGTCAGAGGGTGAAGCAGAGAGGACAGCAGGAGTCAACGGGTGGACTGAAGTGCACATAAGAGCGTCCCATGGACCTGTGGACATAGCTCCATCCTGAAGGTGATGCCTTCCTGGTGCTTTTTATTTCCTTCCTTCATTTCTTTCTATTTTTTCAGGACTGAGGATTGAGCCCAGGACCTTCGCACTGAGCTACATCCCCAGCATTTTGAGTCAGGGTCTCTCTAAGTCACTGAGTAGCCCTGGCTGAACTCAGCTTCAATCCCCCTCCCTCAGCTTGCAATAGTGCGAGGACTACAGGCGTGCAGCACCATGCCCAGCCCTTTGGTTCTTTTTTAATTTGAAGACTGGTAATTTAATTAGAATATGTTTGCAATACATATAATTACGTTCATTTTAGTAAACTGGTGCATATATCATTTTAATCATTTCCAATACTGTTTCCTCCCTTCCTTCTGTCTTCTCTCCCTCCTTCCCCTGCTTCCCCATCTCCTTCCTTATGTGCTACCTCTTCTCCTTTTCAAAATTTAATGCAATTTATATTTTGAGGCTCTCCTGTAAGATAACTCTCAAGGTTTTCTTGATAAAATCAGAGCCCTCCATTTATTGATTGCCCCCTGGAAGCCAGGCGTGGTAGGAGGTTACCAGAGAAAGTAACTTCCCTGGTACCAAGCAGCCCTCCCATTAGGAAGAGCATAAAGTAAGCTCCATCTTTCATTTTGAAACATCAGATATCAGAAACAAAGACTAAGAGATGAGAAATAAAAGCCAAAAGGGAACATACCCTTAGCTTCTTTAGACTTAATTTTAAGAGTAAGATCCGTGTCACCACAAGTGAATGTCAACACTGAGGCACCAGGATGCCCATTCCCTTGGTGATTACTTCTAATTTGAGAGTGTGAAGTGTGACACTGGTACCATGACTGCAGCGCTCAGCCTGAGTGTACCAGCCGTGGCATTTGGCATCAGGGCTTCCCCTGGCCACTGGGCTTCTCTTCAGGATGCCTGAGCCCACATATATGTGTTAATAAAACACCTCACCAGTGCAGAGAAGAGACAGGTGACTGGTGCCCCAGGCCACCTGCACCCCCGGGAATGAGGTCAGGAGCCAGAGGAGAGCTCTGTCCTCAGCTGATCACCACCCTTGTGATGAGGCAATCCAGGTGGATAATGGCAGCCAGTTCTGCTCCATCCTATTTACCAAGTTCTCATTTACTTCATTCAGTTGATCCCTAACTTGAGCATGCATCAGAAGCTCAGAGGGCTTGTGAGAACTGAGAGTTGGCTTCCATCCCTGCTTCTCTGACCAGGCAGGTCTGGGGCGGGGCCGCCAATCTGCATTTCTAACAAGCTTCCAGATGGTTTTGATGTGTGGTCCAGGGCTCACACTTGGAAAATCACTGAAGAACACAAAAAATGTTCCGGGGCTGCCCTGTACCAGGCTGTTAAGCTTTGGAGACAGACTGCTGCCTCAAGGGGCTCACTGCTGGCGGTGGAAGCAGAAATAAAACACAAAGCCTTAGAATGCAATGCAATAGAACAAGGGCTGACTTGGAGTTGAGAAGGGGTTGCTCCCAGCAGAGAGAAAGGCAGGGCTTCCATAGCGTGGATGAGAGCAGGTAGCCTCGGCTTCAGGCAGGGAGGAGGGAGAGGCGAGGGCCCAACAAGGAACCAGAATAGCAGGGAGGCCTGCGTGGGCGGGAAGTGGTCTCTGTGGAACTGGGAAAGAGGTCAAGTGTAGAAGGGGACCAGGCCTAAAAGTGGGGAACAGGAGCGGGCTGACAACAGGACCCGCCCAGGAATGAGACCTGGCTAGCGGTGCCTTTGGAAGCTCTTTCTGGGGTAAGAGGAGGAGAAAGAAGTGAGCAGGGCGGGATGGGGACAGGTAGTGATGCTGGGGGGCAGTGAGGTCATCTGGAGCCGGCGGGGCAGGCGGTGGAGAACGGGAGAGGCCGCGGGATCTGGGTGGTCCATCAGCACAAAGCCCTTGTCTTGCTGGAGGGGAGAGTTCAAACTTTCAGTCCCGTTGGGTTTTGGCTTTAGAAACAGGTGAATTGGATCTGCTCTGCAAAGGGCTCAAGGACACACAGCGGTGTGGTGGCTGCTGCCACACAGGAAGGAAACACGTGAGCAGGGAAACTGGCACACACCTGAAGTTGTCCTACAGCATTGCGCAGACGGCAGCAGCTCATGAGCGGTGTGCAAGACCCCCAGCCCAGCCCTGCTTCCACACGCTCTGCAGCTGTGTCCCACTGGGGTCAGGAAGCAGCCCTGCTGTCGGGGGAGCTCTCTGGTGGGAGAAATGGCCATTGTTCAAGGGGCAAGAGTCTGAGCCCAGTTGCTGTGACCAGCGGGTCTCCCAGAGAAGTGGCCAGATGTGCTGAGCTGGATCCTGCTAAGATACAATGGAGAGGGACATGAGCTCCAGGACCCATCGGATGCTCCATCCATTTGTGGGTTTGGAAAGGACTGGAACCCACGATAGCCCACATCAGCTGCCCCTGCAGAGCACCAGCACATGTGGGCTCCCTACTTCCTCCCTTGGTAGGGGGGGTGGCCAGCAGTGTTGGAAAGAGTTTATGTGCTCTTGGCCCACACGGTCTCTGGGCATCTCTTGAGGCTGTGCATCTGAGCTACAGAACAGAGGTGCCTGGAAGGGACCTCGGGAGGTGGCTAGGGCTCCTCTCTCACCTCATGCCACACAGCTCCCCTTCCCAGGGTAGCAGCTCCATTAAACCATCCTGGGGTCTATCATCATCTCCCACAAAGCCAAGCCCCACTGCACAGGTCAGAGCCCCCTGGGCACCTCTCTCTCCCTGCCCCCTCCTGGAATGCTATGGCTTTGCTGCAACGGGACTTATGACCTATAGCCCCAAAGTGCCTTGTGGTCTCTGCCGACTTATTATACTCCATCATCTGGGTCCCCTGGATCCCCTCTTCCCTCCTCATTACCACTTCCCTTCTGGGAGTGAACAGCGATTGAATAGAGAAGAGAAGGAGCTGGTTTGAGAAGTGCAAGAAATATGTCCCACAAGTGGGTCAAGGAGATGGAAATGTCCTGTGGGCATCTGATTGGACATACCTGGAGCTCAAGAGAGGAGTGTGAGCTCATGTCTTAGTCTCTTCAGGCTGACAAAATGCCTTAAACTGTTAACACATAAACCATGAGATTTACCGCTGTTTTGGAGGCTGAGAAGACTAAGATCAAGTTGCTGGCCAATTCAGTGTTTGGCAAGAACCTGTTTCCTGATTCACAGACAGTACCTCCTTGTTGGGTCACGATGTGGGAGAAGGGAGGAGGCAGTTCTCTGGGGCTTTCTTTATTAGGGCACTAATCCCTTTCATGGGGTCTCCACCCTCAAGATCTAATCACTCCCAAGGGCCACCTCCCAGCGCCATCATCTTGGATGTGAGAATCTCATCATATGAGTTTGGGGGATGACACAAACACTCAGACTGTAAAAGCTGAAGGTAGAGATTGGAAAACTCAAGAATTGATAGGAACTCCAGGGAGCACGGAAAGGGCAAGGGTAGAATCTCAGGCAGTGTTGACAAGTAGGCGAGAGAGAAAGGAAGGTGCTACGAAGTCAGCCACAAAGGACTTTAATGCATGTTGCCCCACTTGGTCTCTGTGAAATTACAGGCTAGATTAAACAAGAGAGATAACTGAGTCTCGGGATGTGCCACGTGGTCGAGTTCTCACACCTGGTAGGTGGCAGAGCCAGGTCTCAAACTCGGAGCTTCCTGACTACATTCTTTTATTCTTTCAGGTCACTAACTGAGCTCCTGTCTGCATGTGTTCACACTGGGCAGTGTAGTGGGGACCAGATAGAAACGGCATGAGACTCAGGATACAGGGGGAATCAACCACTGCCCCACTCCAGCAAGAAAGCTGACTTAGTAGGTGTATTAGTCAGCTTTCTCTTTGCTGAGACACAATCCTGACATGCATACCTCAGAGGGGAGGTTTAATTTGGCTCATGGGTTAAGGGGAGTCAGTCCATGAGCAGTTGGATGAAAGGCAGAAACATCATGGCAGAAGGGTGCAGTGAGTGTTCATGGTACCTGGGAAACAGAGCAGGAGAACAGTACCAGAGAGGAAGGAGCGAGGGTCCAGACAGTAGCCAAGATCATGTTTCTATGGCTCACCCAGGCACACCCAGAAATGTGCTCCACCAACTCTCCGAGTGGCACCCAAGCCAATTAAGTTGACACAGTCAAGCTTAACCTTCACAATAGGTTTCATTGTTATTCAACTGTGGTGAGGCTCATGGGCCAGGAGATGACTGCCATTGAAGGGCCAGTTTGATGCTCACAGATCCCAAGAGAAGGGTCCTGTCCTGCCACAGGGGCCACATAGGGAGGCTAAGAAGAGCCTGTCAAGAGACAGAGAGGAAATAAACCATGCAAGAGATTTTACTGTGCTTTCCCTGGAAAGGGAGAGTGAGATAAGCAATGTTAGTGTTGGCTAGTGTACATCACTCCAGCAGGGCTGCTTGACCAGTGCTTTGAGTAATTAGGAATAGGAGGAGTGTGAGAAGTGGATATGTGACGGTGGTTAGGTGTGGAATCTGATTTGTGGGTTTGGGTTTTTAAAATGGAGTGTTGTTGGGGCTGTGACTATCCTAGTTCCTGGTATCCAAACAAAGAACTCAGCGGGACACAGAGTAGTGGAAGTGAAAGCAGAGATTAGTCAGGATACACTCCTCGGGGTGGGACTTCACAGCCTGGAGGGTGCCAGCCAGGTGCCAGAGCCTATACGTGGTTTTTACAGGGAAGAATGAGCTCTTTGAGCTGGCGAGACAATTGACTCCAACCAGGGACCGGTCTCCTCCTCTCTGCTGGAGGGGGAGTTTTGCTCCAAATGGACCTGTGAGGAATTGTCATGGCGCCCAAAGCCCATGGTGGGGGATATCAAAACTACAGTGTGAGATAATTAATTATAATTGAGTCAGGGCCATTTGGTTGTTTGGGACACTCGGTGATGCACATTTAAGAAGATGGGTGCTCCTTGGTTTCTAGAGGGCTTCTCTTGCCCCCTGCAGGGCCCTGTGGCACACGCACCCTCTTGCCTTTCACAGCTGTGGTCTAGTCATCAGGACCTGGCACCCTGTAGCTTCTGGAGAGCCAGCTTCCTCTCATCTCCTTTTGGAGACTCTTCTGCCCAGGAACTCTTCCTCTCTACTTCCTGCCTCAGGAGGACGCCTCCCAAACAGGAGGGCAAAGGCAACTCAGGCGTACTGTCGGGTTGCCGGGAGCGAGGTGCGTCTGCCATATGCACGCAGGGTCGACGTTAAGGCATCAAGTGTACAGCAGCTAGAAGCAGGGCTCATGCAAAAGCAGAAGAGGACATCAGAACAGCTAGAGAGTGGCAGCAGAGACACAAGGGCAGAAGCGCAGGGTGCGACGAGGGAAGCCTCGCTGTGTGTGCTCTGTGCAGTTAACAACTTGCATGGGTGATCTGGGCACACTGAGGGAGGAAGAGCTCTGGCATCCACTAGAGACGGCATGCCTGGGTGGAGGAGCGACTAGTGCGGGAGGCCATGAAAACCAGCCTCCATTTGGGAAGAAAGGGGATCTTCCCCTTAACACAGGGGTTCTCAAACTCAGCTCCAAGAGGGGATCTCCTGTGGGGTTTTAAAGTGCTGATTCCCGCGGGTGATTTGAATATGTAGCCAAGTTTGAGAACCAGTGGCTTTTGCCCTGTGGAAGATGCACTGTCCTGCACAGGACCAGGGAACTAAATGAACAAAGGACCCGGTGATTCGAGCAAGAATGTATTGCGTTGCATGTGCACGTGTGTGCGTGTGTGTGCACGTGTGTGTGGGATAGCGTGGATGTGGAGGGTGCACCTGAGGTCAGGCCCCTCCCGCCCCTTGTTGGCTTCCTGGGCCACCTTCTAGTCTGCTCTTTTCTCACATGGATGCTTGGAGTCTGCTTCCCCCTAGTGGTGAGTTTTTAGTACAGCACAGCTGTCGCTGGAAGTTTCCTTAAGAACAGGCGTGAGTCCCAGGCTGTGGTCTTGACAGGTGGGTTCTCCTTCGTCTACCGCCTTTGCGCAGCTGGGCCGTATGATTCAGGAGATATTCACGGGGAATCTCGGGGACTTAGACGTCACTGGCCAGGCACCACTCTGACACATGGCTCCAACTGCTGCGTGTGGGGCTTCCTGGGCTGGGAACCTGAGGAAATTCATTTCATCAGCCAGTGCTCAGGACCAAGGAGACCAAACATCAGGAGACCTCATGGCAAGCAGAGGCCGCCCGCTTCATTCTAATACAAGCCTACATGTTAGGATCCCATCTTGCTGCCCAGACAACCCAGCTAGACGGCTTCCATAACTTTCCCACAGTCACGCAGCTGGTGACAGATGCAGAATTTGAACCCAGGAAGGCAGCATGGAACAGTCAGTGCCTGCCCCTCCCGTGAGCCCTGTAAGGCCTCAGGGGATCTCACCTGCCCGATCTCTTGCAGTGACTTCAGCCCGAGTCCCACATTGACATTGAGTCTCCTGTTGTTCCTTCTGGTCTCTATTTCGTGTTGACGGGACACTTCCTTCTGCAGGGCCACCCACAAAAACCCTGGTGCAAGGATGCTCTTGCTCTGTGTGGGCGGAATGCGTCTCTCTGCAGCCGACTCCCAGGACGCGGCCAGAGCCAGGGGGTGAAGAGGGCTAACGCGGTCTTGAGGAAGCACTTGGAGGCCACTGCCAGGGTCTTCCCCCCACCTGGCCGACTTCCTCTCTTCTCCCCTAAAGCCTCCTGCTCACTAGGGCCAGGCCCTCTCCCCTCCTCCCCAGCTCAAGTGTTCCCGAAACTGGTGTAGATCAGAACCATCGGGGGAACTTGCTAGAAGGCGAACCCCTGGGTCCCTTCCCTGAAGAGTCCGATTTAGGGAGGTGGCAGGAGGCCTGGGAATTTGCATTTGAAACAAACAACCCACGTGAATGGTGCAGCGGGTACTCCTCAGGACGCACTTTGAGAAGCATTCAATAGAGTCACCACTAACGTGCATGGGCTCTGGATCAAGAGTGTGATGAAGGGCCATACCCCATGTTTAAATAGCAAAGACTTGTTACTCATCCTAGCCAGTGACCCCATGGATGCATGGAACTGCCTGGCAGGCAGAGTCCCGGAGCCAGAAGATGGTGAGACAAGGAGAGCTGACCCTTGGCTTTGTCCCCTTCTCTTTCCTCCTCTGGCTCTGGCTCTCTTTGGGCCATTATAAACCTGCTGCTTAAAGAAAAGGACACTCAGCCTGCAATTTCAAGCCCAAGGCACCCTCCTGTCTGTGAACAAGTGCATCTTGACCACCAGCCGAGAAGATGGGCCCCAGGGAGGAGGGCTGCATGGACCCAGCTCTTCTCCCCTTTCTCATCTGTGGTTCTCAGAATAACTGCAGAAAGTGCTGGGAACGCAACCTCTTGAAATAAGGAAGAACTATCCGGAACATCCTGGCTTCTGTCCCTGTCCCCGCAGAAGAGCATATCGTGCGCCCTTTAGCTCACCAATTTCAGGCGGCTCGCAGGGTAGAAGACTCAAGAGCAGAGCGATTCAGGGGGGCTTCGGCTGCTCTGCCGGATGGAGCATGCGCAGACAAGACTCCGCCCACCCCAGGATCTTTCCTGAGCTTGGAGGAGCAGCTCATCACGAATCCTGGGCTTCTGTTTTCCTTGCTGCTTAACTCTGGTGAAAAGTGACTGTGAGTGTCCAGTCTTACTCCTGCATCCGGGATGCAGTGGGCGGGTATTCGGACTCCTACTTCCGGTGCGTGCCATAGTGGTGGTCTTTGCTGTTCTTTACGCGGTCAGAGTCCTCCCCAAGGACTGGTCGCCAGTGCTCGGTGAACCCGCTTTACAGCGTCCCCGCAGAATGCCAGGTGCCTTGCTCTTTGGTACTGTCGCTTTTCTTTTTCACCCAGCCCTTATCATCCAAGAGCACACTTTAGCCTGTTAGTTGTGGATGTGTCCACCCTGCTGTGTCGTGAACAGTTTGGGTAGAGGGAACCACTGTTTATATCCGTATTCTCCCCAGTGCCCCATGTAGTGCCTTAGAGCTAGGCGCTCAGTAAATGACTTCCAAATGGAAGAATTTTAAAAATGAAGTTTGTGGGAAAGAAAGAGGGTTTAAGATACAGGCCAAGATGAAGTGGGGATTTGTGCTCTTGGGGTTCTGCTGTTATCATTTCCCTTTGAATGGTCCATGTCCGACCCATTGCCGCCCATTCCTCTCTGGTGTGACTCGAACCCACCTCTGCCGGCGGTCTCTGCACCAGCCTCCCAGGTGGCCGGGGGCTGTTCTCATAGGCGATTTGTCCTGAGTACCCGCAGTTAGTTTCTAGGAGCACCCGCTTGGCCAGAATCTGCTGTTCTAGCTTCCTCTTGCTCACAGCTGGTGCTTCCCTGACTGCAGGGTTGATCTTTCTCTTTCTTCCTTGGAAGGTCACGGATGAAGAGAACGTATGCAGATGTGAGACCATTACCAAACATCGTTTTCCACTTTCAGCACAAACAATGCCGAAGACAGGCTAGGGTGCAGGCCGCTGTTACTCAGAGTTACATTTGGGGTCACCTGCAGAAGGATAGTAATTCCTGAATTTTTCTTTGCATTTCTCTCAGTTTCTCTTTGTGTCATTTGTAAACAGTTCATGTTCACATTCGATCTCCTTTCCTAGACTGAGAGTTTCTAAAGGGAGAAAAAAACTTCATTATAGAGAATTTTTTATACAGAAAATGCTGAGATGAACATAAACCCACATGTACTTATCTACTCGGGATCAGCTTTCTCACACCTGTGCGTCCCTTCCCCATGGCTCTAAGTTTTTATTGTAGTAAAATATACATCACATGTACCATTTTAGCCACTTCACCTGTACAGCTCGGTAGTAGAAAATACATTCCAATTGTTATGCACCCATGGGTGACACCCACATGGCCAAAACTCTCTTCATCTCACAAACCTGAAACAGACAAGATAGCTTCCTGTGTCTCACTCCATCTGGCCCTCAACAACTCTGTTCTACTTTCTGTCCCCACGAATGTGACTACTCTAGGTAGTTGGGACACAATGATCATCCTTTTGTGTCTGGCTTATTTCATTCAACATAGCGTCCTCAAGTTTCCCTAGGTTGTACTATGTATCAGAATTCTACGATTATCTTAAAGTAAGTTCCACATTTTAGTTTATCCAGAAATATTTTACTCTGTATCCCTAAAATAAAAGGATGTTTTAACAAAACCACAATAGTCATATCACACTTCAAAGTAAAAACAACAATTTCTTACTACCCTAAAACATGCTTTCTGTGTTGAGAATTCTAATCGTCTCACCAAAGTTGGATTCACCACTGTTCCTAAGTACAGAATCCCTGTCTGGTTTGTCCCGAAAGCCCTCCTCCTCCATCATAGCTGAGGCGGTGGCGCAGTAGATGCTGTCACTTCATAAATGAGCAGTAGGTGGCACTAACGATCAGACAATTGCTAAATCCATTTGCATTTACGGAAGAGAAAACTTAATTTATATGCTGTTGGCAATTACAGGTGAATGTATAAATCCAGAAATTGAAAATAGCCTGTTAGTTCTGGGTAGCATGCATAAAACATCAACACATTTCAATTCAAAAAACTAATTATTGATGTCAGATAAACTTTCAATTCATTTTAAATAAAGACAGCATCAAAAACTCCCTTCTCTGTGTGGAAGTTTACCTCTACAATAGCCACATTGTGGGTGTTAAATAATTGAAGTTATCTATGTTTACATAGATGTTTACATATTCTTCTGCTTAAGGGTGAATTGAATCTACTTGTAAAATTGAATTATGTGTTAAATGCCTGTTATAAATGTATTGTTCAAGTTGTGTTAACTGTACCTCCTCTGAGTAACATAATTTCCCCCAATTTCCTCTACAAAGAATCTAAGATGACAGATTTACATAGGATCTTTAAGACCATAGAAATTAGCCTTCTCATCGGCCATTAAAATGGACATGAAATCTTATCATGATATTATATCGTAATTTAACGGCTTTCAATGTAATTTGCTATCTCCTGCCATTGATCTCCCCTTTCCCTTCCACCCCTACCCTGCAACAAGCAGAAACCATTTTAAAAATCTAATCACTTGATAATAATTGCTATGCCATCTCAAGGATACAAAACCCAAATTATACAATGTATACTCCCCCTCTGCCCTTTCAATATAGTCAGCAAACATTTATTTGGGTGATACTATGGCCAAGCCAGATCTTCTTGCTCTGTTGCTCAACTGAGCCTCTTATGTATTTACTTCTTTTAATCCCCTGGAAAGAAATCAAGAAAGTTTAGGAAGCCCAGGTCCTGATGGCTTCACTGCTGAATTCTATAAGAAATTTAGAGATCTAATGCCACTATACTTCAAACTCTTTAATGAAATTGAAAGGGAAACAATACTCCCAAAACATTCCTAGAAGCAAGTAATACCCTGATACCAAAACTAGAGAAGGATCCAACCAAAAAAGAGAATTACAGGCCAATCTCCCTAGTGAACATAGATGCAAAAATCCTCAGTAAGATACTGGTAAACAGATTGCAGCAATGTAATACACCATGTCAAAAAACCCAAAGACAAAAATCACATGATCATCTCAATAAATGCAGAAAAAGCACTTGACAAAGCCCAACACTCATTCGTGATTTTTAAAAATGTACAGAAAATTGGAATCGATGGTCTTTATCTCAATCTGATAAAAGCCATCTATGACAAACCAACAGCCAACATCATACTAAATGGTCAAAAAATGAAAGCTTTCACTGTAAAATCAGGAACAAGACAAGGATGTCCACTATCACCACTCCTGTTCAATGTAGTTCTGGAAATATTAGCCAGAGCAATTTGACAAGAGAAAGAAATAAAAAGAATAAAGATAGGAAAGGAAGAAGTTAAATTATCATTATTTGCAGATGACATGATACTCTACGTAGCCCACCCCAAAAACTCCACCAAATGACTTCTAGATTTAATAATCAAATTCAGTAGCATAGCTGGATATAAAATACTCAAAAATCAATAGCACATGTGTACCCAAATAACAACCCAGTGAGAGAGAAATAAAGGAAACAACACCTTTCACAATAGCATCCAAAAAATTAAATACTTAGAAATCAATCTAACAAAAGAAGTAAAAGATCATTACACTTGAAAATTACAGTATTCTGAAAAAGGAGATTGAAGAAGATATCAGAAAATGGAAAGATACCCCTTGTTCTTGGGTAAGAAGAACCAACATAGTGAAAATGGCCATACTCCCAAAACTGTTACACAGGTTGAATGAAATCCCAATCAAAATACCACTAGCATACCTCACAGAACTAGAGAAAACAATCCTAAAATTCATTTGGAACTAGAAGAGATCTAGAACAGCAAAAGCAATTCTAGGCAACAAAGGCAAGGCAGAGAGCATCATGATTTCCAACTTGAAATTATACTACAGAGCAATGGGATAAAAACAGAATGATACTGACCAAAAAAAAAAAAAAAAACCCATACCCAAGGATCAATGGAACAGATTAAAAGATGCAGAAACAACCTCAAATACATAAAGCCACCTTATCTTTGACAAAGGGACCAAACAGCTTCACTGGAAGAAAGATAGCCTCTTTAATATGGTGCTGGAAAAACTGGCTTTCCACATGCCAAAGACTAAACCTAAACCCATGTCTCTCACCATGCACTAAACTAAAATCAAAATGGATCAAAGATCTAAATATTAAAACAGAGATACTAAATCTAAAAGAGAGAATAGGTAGAACTCTTGAAGACATAGGTGTAGGCAAAGACATCATGAACCAAAACCTGATTGCATGGGAAATACTACAAAGAATCAATAACAAGGATCTCATCTTGTTAAAAAGCTTTTGCACAGCAAAAGAAATCAACAGAGTGAAAAGACAACCCAGCATGGGAGAAAATTTTAGCCACTTGTTCCTCAGACAAAGGACTAATATCTACAATATATAAAGAATTGAAAAAAATCAGACCCTCCTAATTTAAAGAACCAATCCAAAAATGGGCATCTGATATAAATAGACACTACTCAGATGAAGAATTACAAATGGCAAATAAATATATGAAAAAATGTTCGACATCACTGGCATTCAAGAGGTGCAAATTAAAACAATGCTGAGTTTCTACCTCACTCCACAAAGAAAGGCTGCTATCAAGAAATCAACAAATAACAAATGCTGGCGGGGCTATGTGGAAAAAGGAACCCTTCTCCACTGTTGGTGGGAGTGTAGACTGGTGCAACCTCTGTGGAAATCATTGTGGAGATTCCTCAGAAATCTAAAAGTAGAGGTCCCATTTGACCCCGCTATTCTCCTTCTTGGTATCTTCCCAAAAGAATTAAAAGCATCCTACCACACCGATATATGCACACCCATGTTTTTTTGTTTTTGTTTTTGTACCAGGGATCGAACTCAGGTCCTTCCGCTTGCAAGGCAAGCAGTGAAACCACTGAGCTAAATCCCTGGCTGTACACTCATGTTTATAGTGACACAGTTTGTAACAACTAAATCTTGGAAACAACCCAAATGCCCATAAACCAATAAATGGATGAAAAATATGTGGTTTTTAAATACAATGGAGTACTAAACTGCCATAAAGAAGGATAAGCTGGAGATATTTCTAGCTAAATGGATGCATCTTGAGACCATACTCATAAGTGAAATAAATCAGACATGTGTGTGTAAATATCGCATTGTCTCTCTGGTGAGAGAAACTGAAAATGTAAATAAGGACCAAAATATATAATAGATATGGTGAAGAAATAGGAAGAAATTGTTCAAAAAGAAAGGGGAACTGGGGAGGGGAAAGGGGAAAAGGAAGGGAAAAGAAAAAAATGAGAAAAGATAAAACGGAAATAAAGCTTTGTAAATACGGAGAGGAAGAGACGTTTAAGGGAGGGGAATGGAAAAAAAAGAGGACTCAAGATGTATCATGTACAGGTACAAATTCTCTATGATGAATGTGGTCATTCTCTATCTAAGTTGTACCAATAAACTTAATTTTTAAAAAAAGAAACTTTAGGAAATCACCCTGTACTGTGTGTGTGTGTGTGTGTGTGTGTGTGTGTTGGGGATCAAATCCAGGGCCTCCCACATGCTAAGCACATGCTGAGCACAGGCCCAGCCCCTGCACTGACCTTCCGACAGGGACAACACAGTCCTTCTGAGCCATTTGTTACCCTATCCTCCAAGATTCAGATTAACAGTTAATATTACAACATCCTTTTTGAGCTTAAGATCAACTCTCCTGTCTAGGACAGGCCCTGAACTGCTCTTTAATGTTAGTTCTCACCAGATTTAACCCAAGAACAATTCCATCTCATCTTCTCCCCTATCCAGATGTCCCAGAACACCTGGGCTCGCCTCTTCCCTGCAGTGTAGTTTGCCCCTCCCTCTTGGCCCCAGCCCTCTGTCTGTCTCTCTGCCAGTTTTGCTTCTCTCCTCGTGGTTTCATCCCCCCAACCTTCACCTCGACAACTTCCAGCTTCCTGGGCAGTGACGTCCCCCGGAAAACATGCACTGACTCATATGCCTCATGTCCAGTTGTTCGTACCTTCCAGCGTGTTCTTTGAGGTATTCACTAGTGGGAGATGTTATGTAGACAAAAAACTTGGAGAAGCAATTGTTAAACAAATTCAAATA